AATAATATCAAACAATAAATTGTATTGTACATAAAGAAGGTAATACATGTTTCAGGGATCAGTGAAGAGACTATTTAAGATATATATAACTCAAAAACATTTTGCAATACACAATTATTTGGTATGTATTCTTTGATTGGAACCTATATAACAATAGCTCCTGTCCTTTTGACTAAGGTTTAGGGAAATATTGTAAAGGTAAATCATGTAAATTAAGCTGTCTTTAAATTTTGAAATCTTATAAATTTTTTGAATGTCGTATTTTGAGTCATAGTTGTATTTTCGTGTTGAAACGTAATGACTCAAAATAAGTTTTAAAAATCATGATAATATATTATGTCCTTATTTTGATAAACAAATTGAAGTTATTGAATTTGGAATATTAAATAACTTTTATATAATTTCCACCAGAAACTTAACTATGTAGACAAAATAGTCCGAACTTTTTGTCATATTAAGTGTTGAACCTAAACATTTCATTTGTTCATTGTTCATAATATCATATTTTTTTAATTAGATAAGTGTAAATCCTTTATTAAATGTGTACAAATTCCCATGTTTTACAAGAAATTACAAGTAGATACAAATTATTTTGAAGTATATATCAAAACTCTAAACTCTAGAGCTACTTTTTTTTATACAATTATAACATTTACCCATGATAATGTCATGTCGAAAGATTTAAACATTTTAATTAAGAAATTTTGAAGCATTTGAAAAAGAAAATTAGAGTCTATTAGCGTAAGATTTACAGATAAAACAGATTATAAATTTTCAAGATCAAGGACTTTATACAATTTATCACAAACATGTTTGTACCAGCTGGACAACCGTTATACCTTTCTGATTGACTTACGTTTCTGTTTCTCTTCTTATCATCTATCCAACTTGCTTACTCTACTCAGGTGTCCTTTCGTGCATGAAATACTGCACAAAAGGACAACTGAGGTCTCCCTCAATCAGTAAGCTTTGAACATCGCCATATGACCAATACTATGTCAATGTGACGTAAAACCCAATTAAACAAGCAAGCATCTTCTTATCAACAACAGCCATGCAGAAACTCTTGACAAAAAACGCCATGTCTGAAAAGTTAATGCACTTGTTGCATGCATTTTGCAAATGAATGTGTATATTTTGTTTTTCAAACTATCTTGTTGAAAATATACTCTTCGAAATAACTTGTCCCTAGATAATTGTTACTGAATAAGATTGCATGTCTGAAGGTATTATTTCTGTTCAAATAAGTGAAGTATTTATCCTGGTAATTGGTGTCTGATGGAGCTACAGTAATACTATAGACCTTTTATCATATGCCAAAAATTGTCTAAATTTTGAATGTGTGTAGACATTTTCTTTAGTTTACATTAATTCTATTTGCAGCATTATACATATGCTGGTATTAAGTCCTAGAAATTAAATAGAATATCATGACTATGTCATATGCAAAACTGTTATATTTCAACCCAATATTGACATTTTCATTAATTTTAAAATACAATATTTATTTTTAGGCATAATTATTTTACTTCTATTTATTCAGACATGACATAAGAAGTATAAGTTGGACTATTTATTTTGTAGCTTGCATTTTGATAATTTATCATTTCATGCAATCCCTCATTATAAGCCAACTAATTGTAATTTAATGTCACTTAATTGGAATATGAATGCTAGAATATTTGAGAGAGTTCTTTAAGTGAGGCCCAAGAATATGTTGATATTCTTTTCTCAAGGATCTTATATATACCGAGTCTATGTTTAGATTGACAAAAGTCATGACTAATTGATAAACATGAAACTATTTTAGGGAAAAGGGTACATACAAGCTTGAATTCAATATTACAATTATTTTTGTTAATAAATTATACATTCTCGTCATAGCTCTGTCTTAACTTTTCATAGCTTATGGAACAGATTTATGCTTTTGCCTACAAAAGCAGATTAATCAGATTTCTATATTAAACTGTGACGTAAGTGCAGAAAACATGCAAATTCGTCACTAATTTTAGTAACCTTTTTCTCTTTACACGTGTAATTATAATATACTGTAATAAATGTCAATAAAAGTCATTTTATATAAGGAAATACTTCATATTTCAAAAAATGAACACTCCTATTTTCACATCTTTTGCCGTTAAAGAATGTGCGTTGTCTGGTTTCATCTATGTAAACATTGTATCACGGAGTATCTCCAATTCAACATGTTAAATATTGTTGTTGTTTTTTACTTTTGTAAAATAGAAAAAAAGGAGCACTAAAACGAATAAAACGAATAAATAAAAATAAATAAATGAAAATTAAAAAAAAATTGAAAACAAAATAATAAAATAAATAAACGTATGATAAAAAAAATAATTCAAAGAAGTGATGAGGTGGACAAAGTAATTATTAAGGAAGAATCTAGTTGCTCATATTGTTGCTCATTACATTGGTAAAGTTTTTTGAAACGCAATTAATAATAAACAACAACAACAAAAAAACAACAACAAAAAACAAACAAAACAAAACAACAACAACAACAACAATACATGCAGATTTATTGCAACATGTGGATACCATACGATGTATTTTCTGTAATTTTCCGAAGTCTCTATGTTGATAATTGATATAAATAAACTACAAAAAACGTGACGTTGCAGCTTTTGTATCAGTTAGAAAAATATAAGTAAATGTAAATCAATGGTCATAAACCTGTCTTCATTGTTCACAAGACAAACAGTTGTTTCATCTATGCACTGTTATTATCTATCTGCGTCTGAAAAACTGTTGCATTCTTAACCAAAACGTATGATTAGAGTAGAATTATGTTTCGTTCGACTTGAGAAATACAGAAAAGAGTGTAATTCTCACGTGCCAGTTGAACTAGGGATGCAGCCTAGTTTACCTTTCCTAATCTTGTTTATCATATTTGGTACGGTGAATACTTTCATTAATTTTGTAGAAAAACATGGAAAAACACTTTTGCGAAGAAAAAATAAAGTAACTGTTTTAGAAAGAAAAGAATTAATTTATGATAAAACCGATGACGAAATATCGATATTTATAGTTTGATGATGTCAAAAGTAAATTCAGCTGAGATATTTCCATCCCATGTTATAGGTTATTTTAATATTTTCCTTATGCTCCATGTCATAACAGGTCTTTAGGGAAACTATTTTGAGGATAACATTGTCTCAGTTTTCTTTATATATCGTTCTAATCAAATAATGTATCTCAGAAATATTTTGCAATACAATCATGAGGTATTTTGCAAAGATTAAAAATAGTACATGTTTTTTACATTTACATTTAACAAAAACACCGTAATAAATACTATGTGTACTACCGATTGCACCGTTACAGCAGTTTTGTTAAAAGTTTGTACTAACTACTAAACCTAATGATTTAATTTTGGTTCATTTCAGATATGACAATCTTTCTATTTTGAAAAAGGGTGTAAACATTAGTTCATAATAGTGTTTAGAGTCTTACAAAATAAATACTTTAGTTAATTTTCCTTCTTTTAACTTTTGTGGGCATGCGACCAGTTTAGTCAAAGACAAACCTTTACATGTGTAATCTGCACTGCTCGCTTTTCAATGTGTAAATTTTTTTTGAACATTTATCTAAAATAATAAAAGGATATATACAGATTGAAAGATAATTAATAGAACTGTATACATTAAGCTGACTTTAAAATATATCAAGCTCTAATTTAAAGGTTGAAAGTATTGATAATTACTATAAGTCTCTTTTTGATTGTAAAATTAAAATCTTTTGGGTTTACACAAACAAAATATGAAACCTTTTAAACTCTACAAATTATACAAACATATTATCAATACATAGTGACAATAAAAGAAAACTGGCTATTGTTTAAAAAAATGGCTCAAGTCGACAAGTAACAGGTAATGCTGCTTTCCAATTGTATATTATGTATGCTCTCATTCAAATTAGCCAAATTAAGTATGAATTTTCTGGATAACAAATAATTTCTGTACTAAAAGATGGGCAAAGTATGATTGTTAACTGGATTGCCTGCGCTTAGACCTACCACGACGTTCTTGTTTTCCAATAATAATAAGTAGATTTACACATTTGTCACATCTAATACTTATGACAATGTAAGTTATGATGATCATAACCACACAAACATTTTCGTATCTTATATAAATATAATAAATCATTATAATATGTATTTTTGTATATCTTATTCTTATATCTTTGTGACATGAAAAAGCAATTATTGCCTCGTACATTTTGTATATAACATTCCAATACCTGTATGTATGTATAAGTGTATATACTATATATAACATACATTGGTATATTTGTTCTTCTCTACCATTATGTTATAACGAGTCCTGCTCTTATATCCGAGTGACCAAATAAAGCCGTACTCTCTATCTTTCACTTCATATCTGTAGAGTAAGTTCTGCATTTTTTACGATAGAATAGTTGCAAAAATGAAAAGTGTATTATGGTCGAGATTTGCAATTGTTGAATAAACTTCCTTGCATAATTTAAGCATTGAAGATAAACAGTTGACGAAATCATACTTGTGTAAATCATGATCAACAACTTGAAATGAAAGAAAGTAGAACTCTTTTAAAATGAGTATAATGCATCTTGCAAAATATACAATGATTAATGACAAACAATAAGAAGGTAATTCGTAATGACAAAGCGACTCTTTGAAGTCTCTCTGCGCTATAAAAACATTATTCTGTAACACTTTTTTCGTTTTTGTCCCTGTAATATTGGGATTCTTAGGCATAATGAGATTTTTGAGGCATTTTTTTCTTTTTGTTCATTATATGTTGCAGAATAATACGAAATTAGCACATCATAATTAGACATTACTATTAACAAAGACATATTTCTTTTTACTTTAAATATCTTATGTAAAGTCCTTTGAGAAATTTAACATCTCAGTAACAAATATTATTATAAGATCAGAGCATCGTATTGTTTGTATTGTTTTCTAATTGTCATACTTAACCTTGTGGTAATATGTACAGTTATTTGTACTTCAAAATGAACTATTCTTAGATATATTTTACAACGTCTAGCACTTTTTCTTGTTGTAGCATCTCCAATAAAAGGAGAAGTCATATTTAGAGAAGCACAGAATTGAATATTCTAGTATGATGTCATAGTTATATACGTGGTAGACAGGCATAATACCACAGTTGGAAGAAAAGATCGATCTGCACAGTGGATAGATAGTGTAAAATAGTTATAAAATGTTTTTTGGCGCCCGATTCTTACTGTTGTAATTGTGGAATAATGCTGAACTTATTCTGAAAAAAAGAAAGAAAATATTATCAAATTGCCAATAAATGTGATAAAAGTCGTTTCTTTTTTAAAGGTATTTTAAAGAAATATTCAGGATGCATCTTAAGTTGAAACCATTTGGATACTAAGACTTTGATACTTGGATTAATATCTCGAAAACTGTTCATTTGAAATGGAAAATAATAATATTTGCATAGTAAGTATGTAACAAAATTCATTTGTACTTTGATTTCAAGTTTTATATATTGAAGATACAATATGTACTTTAAAGTTTTATGACTATGCATCTTAAACATTTATATTACATTTAAACAGGGGAGCTAAAAGATATATTTCCTTAATTGTATATTAAATTAAATTTACATTTCTGTTTCATATACATTTAAAACAAACCCCGAATTTTCATAATGTATTTTGAATAATTTGTTATTTTATAGATTTTTTTACTGAAACATGAATGTGCCAGCAAATGTTTCTGGTCCTTACGGAAATAAGTGTGATTTTCTTAATGAATTTCTTTTTCGTTTTTTGTCACTACATGGAAATTAATTGTTTAATATCATAGTTTGCTTGAAGGTAAAAAGTTCCATTAAATCTGATTCAAGAATGAATTTCAATGTTTTAAATTTAATAGTTACAAAAACAAAAACTTAGGAAATGATATTATATTCTTGCAAAAGATTTCTTTCAAGTAACATTGCCGAAGTTACACGAATATTTGCAAATCATATTATTCCAACAAAAGCTGAGCTGCATTAGAATGTTTGATGCAAAATATATATCATCTGAAACAATAGAAAAAAGCTTAAAATATCAATAAAACAAAAGAAAAAGTGGTATCCATTTAACATCCAAAGATGCAAATTTAGAATATTGCAGGCCCAGTTTGATTGAGCATTTTCATAAATGTACTTGTAAATTCATGCAACCTGCAAACGTTCACGCTCCTAGTGCATGTTTCAGCAGTATTCAACATTTATATATGACAATGGTGAAATTTCAATTTCAATTTAGAATATCCCCAATGGATGACAATTTATCAGTCTTTACTTTAAGTAATTAAAAATATAAATCATATAAATATTGTGTTTGTTTATTTTACAACCATGCAACTGGGCATATATTTATTATAATCTTCATCCCACGCAATAGATACTGGTCTTTAGGGACAGCATTCTGTAGATGATATAGTTTCACTAATTTTCGATCATTAAACCTAATAATCGTGCAAATGAAAATGAGACAAGTCATTCTGAAATATGTGAAAATGCTTACGAAATATATAAATAACTAATAATTTGTTGACATCTCATTAAGAAATGAGATATCACATGACCTGAATCTTATTTAATAAAACAATATTTGAGGCAATGTCAATTGTGTATAAGTAAAACGATTCATTCAGGGGATGTATTACAATAGAACACCATTCATTGAGAATAGGCATGGCATTATTGACGAAAAATATATCACAATCACTAATAATTTCTTTTTCAATATTTTCAACATTTTCCCAGGATCATTTCCATTTTTTATGAATCCATGTCAAAGATAATAACATTTTAACATACGAATATAATTAAAAATCAGATCTTTTTTTATGAATTATAACTTTTATCGATAATGCATTATTTTCTCAGAAATTAAATTCTCCAGATGAATACGTAATTATTATAATAAAGTAAACAAATAAAAAAAGAAGATAACAATTTACCGTTGAAGCAATATAAATCAAAATGTATACTTTTTATTTGTTCATATTTTTTATAGCAAGTTTATCTTTACCCAGTTTATTCCATTTATCTATCTTCACCTTGTGCTATATTTAATAACAGGTCTCCTGGGGGCAGTATATTGTGTGTGATATTGTGTAAGCTTCGTTTCAGTTGTTGAAATCTCAATAACTCATCTGGAAAACCTGTTGTCATCTTCTTTGTCTGGCATGGATTGTATATCTGAACAAATATAGACATTGACTCGTGTTCTCTTGGCGTAACTTGATGATACAGCCATTGTAATGTAATCATCTCTAATAAATGTAAATCGATGCTAATGTAGTTGTAGTTATCATTCTTCATATTTTCAATGATACCAGTTAGTGTATCGATTTATATATATATAATATCATCCCATGACGGTTTAAATTTGTATTGCAGACATAAAAGCTATATAAGGAAGTTAAATTATGGTTCGTTTTAAAGAATAAAATCCAAAACGTAGAGGAAGAAAAGGAAAATGAAAATTATACAATCTCTGATGGGATAACAATTTTAAACGTAACATATTAAATAAAAAAGGATATGTTAAGATATTTCAATTTGCACTTATATACAAGAAGTGTATTACAATTAGGCGACTTTGCAAATCTACGTGAATGGACCTACCTAATATGACATTCATTGAGTCCACGACTGAACGCCGTTTGTCTAAGTCACATCGGATTTTTGTTAATTCCGTCGTAACTCACAATTTCTGATATGTACATGTACTTGTAGGGGAATTTAAGAAAAAATGCAAAGGTATAAAAGTCTCGGGTTTGAACAAAATGGAGATCCCTTCAGGAATGCAGCAACGAATTCTTGTTAAATTTACACGAATATAACTGTCCGCCTTTTTGTATTTTGGTTAAATACTTTTCAATACACTTTAGAATATATACTTTAGAATATAAAGACATTTATTTGTATACTTTTGTTGCATAGATCACGGACAGTATAACGCATTGGCGTTCATGGTGAACAAATAATTCGTCTGCCGGTATAAGCGATCTCCAAGATCTTGCAATGCAATGAAAGCCAACCACAGAATCAAATTATAGATTGTCAGAAAAAAAAAATCCATCATTTTGCAGAAAGGCTGTAAAATAATGTTCTATGTTATTTGTAGCAACAAATATTCAAATGGTCTTAATAAAACCAAGTGTTCGATTTTAATCCAATTGTTCTTATTTTCATTGCTCCCGAGTTATCTTCTTTTTCCAGATTGTTTACACCCACAACAATAGCATGCTGTATAGCAGCTGTAAAATTACATCATGTTTCATCTCCGTGTTGTTTTATTTATATGGTCTTTGAGGTTTTTTGTTCAAATATTGTATAAGTTGGGGTTGAATACATCTTAAGCTGATGCTAGGGGCATGATTATATTGCACATTTCATTATATATTTCTCATGAGCAGAGTCAATCAAACCAAATTTGCAAGTTGTAACTATTTCTGTTTTTCGTTTTCAATGCTTTCAAGGGATGACTCATTTCAAAAAGTTTTTATAAACAAATGGTCAAATTAAGAAATTAAAAAGCTAATCGACTGGATTGAAAAGTGAAGTATCTGGTGAAGTTTATAGGTACAAAATAAACAGATCGGTTTATTTTAAACCCCAAGCCTGTTTAAAGCAATTATACTGACCTTTGCAAATATGTTGATACCATATCAGACACCAAATTCTTTAGAGTCTCTTAGATACAAAGCTAATTGAGGTCACTCATTATTTTAATTTCAATTTTGATGGAATTGTGTAACATAACAGGATTAAGCATATTACATTTGTAACACACGACAATGCTCTGAGCATGCAAAGTGTAAAAGTAAATTTAGAATATTACTTAAACAATAGTAACAACAAGATCCGTATATTTAACTTTATCATACATACAATATTGTTTTACTTCTCGTATATTTTGTACAATCATGTTGTTGGTAGACATTATTAAAATCAATATTTTGGTAATTTAATTTTCTTCCAATGCTTCATATTGTCAGTTGCCCGGCACAGAGTCAATGTAAATCAAACATATGTATGTGAATCTTCAATATCAGTATTTATTTTACTGAGAGCTTTCAAATGAATACCTTGTTTAATGTCATGCTTTCGTATTTGTATTTATTCTTTTCGATTTGTTTCTTGTTCGAATGCTAAATGCAAAAGATAATATAGATATTTTAATAGTATTAATTCATTTTCTATTTGTTACTTTAATTTTGATTCGTTTCCTATTCACTTCTTAAATTCTTATGACAGTAGTATTAGCTCGTAACTATTTATTTTAGAGCGAGCCTATTAAATTATCTTCTGAAAATTTACTTTTCAAACAATATTGATTTATGTAATTTCATGATATTGTTAAATGTTTTACGGGGGACATGAAAAATAATGAGCCACTTCGTGAAGAGTTCGCCAGTATGTCTGCTAGATGCTATTTTTTTTTTGCATCTTTTAAATAAATATATGTTCATCAATATCTTATAACTAGCCTTACAAAATATTTTCATCTCTATACACAGAAGGAATCCATATAGGCTAAGAAACACTGCTCTTCTGTTTATATTTCGTTTAAAAAATATTGCATTAAGTATGTTTTTTTTAGATTTTTATACCTTGTCTTTTGCTCATATTTAAATGGTATCCTTTTATTTGAATTTCAGGAATATATGTATGTAATGAAATTGAGCACTGGAACAATTATAAACATTGAAACTCTATTTTAAATGAAATTTGACAATTAAAAACATGTGTTCGTTACATGTTTGCACGAAAGCTAAAAACAGAAACAAACCAACTTATGATATTCTTTAACCTGATGCTTTTATTAAGTACATGTTTATCATAATATTATTATATTTCCAGGTGAATAACAGAAATACACCTTTTCTAAAGCGGTTGGAATTTGAAAACAACTAATCGAAAATTCCTTATGTTGTACTTTAAATGAAACAATTGAAATGCGGAAATATGTAAAAGAAAATATGTTGGACCTGTCTGAAAGGTAATATAGGAAAGGAAGTTAAACGACCAACGAAAAATTGTGATTACGCGTGATATTAACGTGTTATAAAAAGTAGTACGACAAAATGAGTGGCAATGGAAGAAACACAGATTGTAGACCAAATATTATCAAATATCCGAAGTACAAATCTGAAAAGCATACTAAAAAGACAACGTTTTCACCAGAAACCGAGACCATGGAAAAACAAAAGCCAAATGTACAGCAATACACTACTTACGTTCCTGATACGAATCTGCCGCTTGCTTGCCTTGTTTGTTTATGCTTTAATCTTCCATTAGGTGTTGTTGCAATGTACTTATCACTTTCGGCCGCTGGACTTTACAGAGATGGTAATGTGGAACAAGGTAAAAGGAGGGCTAACCTGTCTGTGTTATTGAGTTTGCTAAGTATTGTGACAACTGTTCTTATTGTGATGGCCATTGTTCTATGGATTGCTGTAGATGACCAGAAGGAAAGAGAACTGAAGGAATTACAAACTTAGTTTTTATGCAATGCAGTTTAGCAGGTTCAATCATTCGGAGTATTTATCTGTTCTATGCAAATACGAAATTAGAGTTTATAGATACGCTTTGTCCTTATCGAACAAATAATTTGTCTAGCCGAAAATGTGTCCTTCGCATAACAATCAAAGTTGATGACGCTTTTGCAAAGAAAGTGCCAAAGATATTACAATCATTATCATTGTTATCACATCACCCTGTATGTTCATATTAGCTCTATACACGCATATTGCATATTTGTATAGACAGATATACAAGGACGTATTGGTTTCTTTGTCTGAAATATTTTTTTATCATGTAGTAAATGGTATGATTAATAAAATAAAACATATCGTGAAAATTTAAGAAAATGTACGCTAGATTTTCTGGATAATTGTAAAATAAAATATGTGTATGTTAATGAAATTCATATTATGTTTCCAGTTCAGAATCCAACATATTATGTTTCCAGTTCAGAATCCATGATTAAAAACTTTTATATAAATTGACCACGGTTTAAATCCATTAACATATATATCGATGTATCTGATTGGCTCGAATGCGCTGACGACTAAAGACGCGTAAACCAAATGTTTATATCACGGAGTGATATTCTATGTAGAGCTAACATATACCCTATTATAGGCGTAGTATATGATACCACGATTATATACTTATTTTAGGTCAATATATTGTGTTTTTTTTCGAACACGATAAAAGTTATATCGACATCGGATTATTGTCCTCGGTCAATATAATTTTTTCATGGTGCGAATAGCTTCATATCGACCTCAAAATAAGTTCATATATAAGCAATGTTTTGCCATCACATATACTTACTTGCATGCTTGTATATTTACGTGTGGTATATTTGTAAAGTATGTTTTATATAAATAATGTGACCTACATTTTCCACGGCTTCACGATGTTAGAAAACATATCGCATTAAATGCTGTTTAAAATGTGCCTTCATGGACAATTTGTTTAGCTTTAAATGTAGAAGATAAATAGTTGGAATGTTATAGAGGTATGAATGCAAAACATGTATACATTTTATACCGAACAAAATGAGTACGTATATGTATGATGACATATATTTGTTATCATTTGCATCATTATTGAGGTAGTCTTACTTATCCTTCACATCCATTCATTTATATATCAAGTCATTTTTACTCGCAGTTTAATACAGCTTGAAAGAAACATCTTAAATTGAAGTTTTACAATATTCAAATTACTTGTTTAAGGTTTATTGATAATTTGATTTAAAAAAATAAGTGATATTTGGAATAAGTCAGGTAACAAAAGCTGTTTTTCATTATTTTTTCATTGTTACGAAAATAGTATTATTCAGTAGGTATTCATTGATTCAGAAAAGCTTGATAGATACATTTTCAAATTCATTATATGACGATATTTAATATTATTTCTAATAATTTAACAAAATAACGGTTTATTGACTTTCAGATTTTTTTTTACGAAATCATTAACTCTTTTATTGTACTTCTCGATGTCATATATACCAGTATTTAATTCGAAAAATCAAGTTGAGAGTTTATCTCACAGGCCATGATACTGTTACTAATTAATTGCAAGTTTTCTACAGTTTTATTAAATCGTAGTATTCTATTTCAATATTTTTTATGAAATATTCTACGTCTTACAAACCAGTTACTTTCCAAATCTTGTTAGAATATTAATTCAAGTAATAAATTATTGAATTTTAACCTTTGGTCTTTCATATGTGATAGATGCTGACATTTTTACTGCTGATATATGAATGTGCGGGAACATATCCATACAACCAGACATGTTTTTAATGATAAGAATATATATTAATTCATATTTACTGATACATTGATTGTATAAATATATGACACATTTTAATTGAGTTATCAATGTTTGTTAGATTTTATATTTAACCAATAGTCCGACCTACAATGTTCAGTTTGGATCATAATTTGTATCCTTTGTAGAAGAAGATTCTGAATTACATGTTACATTCGTGATATAAGCTTTTCATAATATTTAAATCATAAACATCTGGTTAAGTCTTGATCAATTTCATTTTTACCTTAAGTTATAAAATGGTTTCTTTAATTGATAAACAGCTGTGGTGGTTTATATATATAATCTCACAAATCTTGATGATTGTATTCAGCTTTCCATACAATTGTAAGATACTACGTGTCAAGTACGCTAGATGTGATTACATTTGCTACGGCGTCAAGTACAATGTCTGTAGACTTATTGAGTGTCAAACAGCTTGCAAAATAGCATTCTATAGTCACAAAGGAGGAATTTAGAATACCATGAACAGAGTTTACTGACACTTCCCGGTCATAAGTTACATGCATGATATGTTTTATCTCTTTCTCTGCTAAATCCGAAAATTTGACAGAAGGGTTTTAAATCTTTAACTGCTTTTATAAACGCTTTACTTGTAAGCTGAGCTTTCTGACTTCATATCTTAAAACTGCTAATCCTATAAAACGGACTTACTCTGAATTAACTATGAATTTGTAACAGTTTACTATATTTAGTTATTGTAAATAACAGGCTAGAATTGAGAAACTAGCTTCATAGTGCGGGACATGACTCCATCTGAGCTAGTCTGACTATAATGATGGAAGAGGCAGGTTATTTTTGCAATTGCCTTCCAAAAAGTTGATCCCAACCGTTAATAAAATGATGTTGTAAAGATGAAACCATGAGATTATTTTCAAGCTCTTGATATTAAAGAGTACAGTTTATCATGTACATCAAAATAATAATTACGTACGTATTGTTGGTAACCCATATCTAATATTGTTTAGTTGTTGATAGTTTTGGAAGAGCCTTTAATTAACCAATGGCATAACCCGAACAAGCAAAGGGCATCCATTAATTTTAGGTATTGGTAATTGTCCAGAAAGTGAAGCTAAGGTTTTCAGATAAATATTGTATGTGATATTTCTCATTTAATCATTTTATGGGTCTTTCCTATTTCACAATTCATTTTGGAACATAACAAATGTATAGTATTTAGAAATGTCAAACATTACATTTTGATGCATATCATAAAATATTGCTAATCATAAGTTATTGTTTTTATACTATGAAAATGTAAGAACATTGCATGCACCGTTAAAATTGTTGCCAAACACGTTTGTTGATTGTATTACAAGATACATATATTTCATTATATATAATAATCAGTAGACATGTATAGTGTTAGGAAAGGAATTTTAAATTCATCAAATTTGCTCAGTGTTTAAGACATGTTTGTTTCATGTTGATTAGATAGGTAGCCATATTACCATTGTAAATCATGCAAAACTGCCTTCATTGTTATATGATGATAATGTTAATCCATCGGTATTAAATTATTTTCACAATAATTTGTTGTTTTGTTATTGAATGATGGCTCCAAGTCCAAATTCGCATTATTGTCTGTACCCATAAAAATTTAAAAACATTGGTTTTCTTCAAAAACTATTTCAGTATAGCAGGGGAGTTTGTCAGGGTTCAAAACTGTTCATTAACTAGGGAAGACAGTGTGTAAAGACACTCGGTAAAGACGAAGTACGGTATTCCGAGAGTCCAGGTCAGGCTGCACATTTTTCTCACCCTGTGACATTCTTATAACAATCATTATGGTATATAGATGTAAACATTATATATAAGGTAGCAGGATATATTTGATCATTCTGCAACTTTGAGTCGATATAGATGTAGAAAAATCAAGATGCTTGCAGAACTGATGCAAGGGACTTTATACTGTTCATTGTTACAGTTTAGTTACGTTGCTTTTCAATGTAAGGTCATTTTTCACAATAAGAATAATCATTCTGGAAAAATCGGAATGACAAAATAATCTGGAATTTTGCACACAAATTATTATTGGTGTAGACTTACATAAAACAGAACAAATATTTCAAGTCCCGTCATGACAAAACACTTACCTTTAAATACAGAGTTAAACTTTCTTTACCTCGCTTTAAACAATAATAAGATATAAATATAATTTATTTCCATTGGGATTTTCGAATATCCATCAAAGTTGTACCCATGCTACTGTTAATAGTAAATTGGTTATGTTCGCAAAATGCCAAAAAGTCAATCATCTCACAGATTGAAACGCCTGCTTGTCTGCAGTGTATGCTCAAAATAACATGCTTTTTACAGATTAAATTGGAAACTAGTAAGGGAATGTTTTACTGAATTTTAACAAATATTTGACTGCTAGAAAACATCATGCCCTTGAGCTTCCTGTATCAATCACTTTTTTGAAAGCATTTGTATACGGTAAAGTTTTCAAAACGTTTCAAATGTTCCTAAATGAGGCCCTGTGAAACAAACAAAAATAATGTCGATTCAATGACGGGATCGAATATGAGACATTACTCAATATACACATGTGCATGTTATTTATCGTGCAGAATAACTTTGTTT